GTCCTGCAGATGTGTGTGACCTGAGCCCAAGACCCTTGTCTCATCATATCCTGGTTCTTCTACCCTATGGTCTCTGGGGTGAGGGCTCAGGAGAGCCCAGGAAGTACATCTGTGGTGGGAGAGAGAAATCAGGAGATGGGGATGCAGGGGTGACCCTGCCCCTGTCCTCAATCAGCAGAGCTGTGAGATCCCCTCCTGGGGAGGCAGGAGGAGGGATAAGCAGACTGTAGCTCATCAGTGTGGAACTGAGAGTAAAGATCCACCAATGGGAGGGAGGGGCAAGGCTTGGCCTGGAGGGCAATAGGGCCACAATTCTGTCAGATGGGGCTGGGGGTTCCCTGATACCCAAGTGTGATATAGTGAGAAGCAGAGTGATCTAGTGAGAAAAGCACTATATTTGGAGTAAGGAGGCCTTTCTTTTCTGCCTTTTCAGTAAAAATAGCCCTCACTTGACCCATCCACCCCAATCAGCTATCATCCTATATCTTTCCCTTCCATGGCTAAACTAGTTGAGAATCTATATCTTCACTTCCTTTCTTCTCACTTTCTGAACTCTCTGCAGTTCAATTCTGTTAATAACTAGCTGTGTGACCTTGGGCAAGTCATTTCCCTTCCTGTGGGTCTCAGTTTCTTCCTCTATAAAATGAGGTTGTTAGACTAAGTTTCCTTCTAGCTCTGAATTGATTTTTTTAAAGTTAGGTTCTGTGAACTTGTTTATTTTATTTTGAGAACTATATTTCAACAGAATTGATTTCCATTTGAAATCCTATGTATTTTATTTTATTTTTTTTGTAGAGGCAATTGAGGTTAAGTGACTTGCCCAGAGTCATACAGCTAGTAAGTGTTAGGTGTCTGAGGCTGGATTTGAACTCAGGTCCTAACTCCAGGGTCCATGCTCTACCCACTGTACCACGAAGCTTCTCCCATGTATTTTATGCATTTAAAAACATTATTCTGAGAAGGGCTCCATAGGCTTCACTAGACTACAAAAGGAATCCAAGATACAAGAAAAGGGGAAGAATCCCACTTTGGAAATGCCCAAATGAGATCTTCTACCCAGAGAATCACTGAGACTTCTATTCTCCTTGGTTTGTCTTCCATGAATGATTCTCTCACCTCTCAATCAGAGGAAGGGGATTGGAGGGACTGAGAAGAGGCCCAGGGCTTCTCCAATATCCCAACCCAGTCTGGACCAGAAAGCTAAGTCATCTTTACAGACCTCAGTTTCCCCTTTCCTAGACCCTCTCTCAGCAGGCATTCTAATGAAGTTGATGCCAGCCTTCTATAGGTAAGGCTGCCTCACTTCGCTGGCCCAAAGGCCAGCATGAGGGGTCAGGAGCCACCCTAAGAACAAGTGAACCGTGGATATGACCACCCTCCTCCAGGCTCCCGTGTGGCCCCTGCTCCCCCGCAGCTGCTGTGGTACCTGCCAGGCTTGAGCTCTGGAGTGAGATCTTGTTGTTCTCAGGAGCTGGGGGTACAGCTGGCTGAGTGTTGTCCCACACTGCTATAGATAACGACTTCCTGCTGAGAGCCTAATCAAAGGCCTCGTGCTTGGGGGAGTGAGGAGGGGTGAAGGGTGAGCTCAGAACTCATTATCAGTATTTAGTTTGGGGCTTTTCAATGGATTCCTGTTCCCTGTTCTTACTCCCTTATCCAGAGGTCACCTGATTAGCTTCCCTGCCCCTGCCCCTGTGCCTGCCACAACCCTCCAGAGATGGATCCTGGGCTTTGCTGGGGACGTAGCTGTACTAGGTGTTCAGGTAAATGAGATTCTACCAGGATTTCTTTTTAGTGCCCCTCTCTTTCTCTCTGATACACAGCCTCTCTGGGGAGGCCTTAATCGTGGCAAAGTGAAACCCTCCATTCCCTCCATATGTCTGCATTGAACCTCCGGCTAAAACTCCCTAAAACTCCACTCTATGTCCCTAGTAACCTCATCTTTCATTCCTCTTCCTTCTCACACTGTCTTTGTTCTCTTGCCCATTGAATGGCCCATGGATCTCTAACCCTGCCACTACAGGGATTTAGAAATATAGGGATAAGGGGCAGCTAGGCGGCACAGTGGATAGAGCACTGGCCCTGGAGTCAGGAGGACCTGAGTTCAAATCTGGCCTCAGAAATGTAACACTTACTAGCTATGTGACCCTGGGCAAGTCATTTAACCCCAATTGCCTCACCAAAAAAAATAGGAATAAGTTCAAATAAATACAAAGTAATTAGATACTGCTCCTGGACAATTGCCCTGTTGTGGCATAGGGGCTTGCATAATAGCTCAATGAAACTATGAGCAAGACAGACAGGTCATAGTGGAGAGATGTGACAAAAAATGATCCACTGGAGAAGGAAATAGAAAACCACTCCAGTATCTTTGCCAAGAAAACCCCAGAGACAGTGTTAAAATGCTAAAAGATATGACATTGGAAGATGAGTCCCCCAGGTTAGAAAGGGCCTGGCCTGCTATGGTCCAGGGGTCACTGAGTGTCAGACATGACTGAACAGCAACAACAGTAGAGTTAGATACCAGGTAGTTAGGGAGAGAGAGCAATCGCAGCTGGAGGAATTAGGAAAAGCGTCATGTAGAAGAAAATGGTGCTTAAGCTGCGTCTTGAGGGAAAAGCAAGATTTGACAAGATAGAGGTGAATAGGGATAGCATTTTACACATGAAGCAAGTAAACAGGAGATGGAATGTCTTGTGTAAGGGACAGAGAGAAGAACAGTTTGACTGGATTGCCTTAAGTGGGAAGGAGAGTGATGTACCATGAGGCTAGAAAGATTGATTAGATTGGGAAGGACTCTAAGAGCCAAAGAAAAGGGTTTATATTTTATCTTAGAGGTAATGGGAAAACATGAGTTGTTTTTTTTTTTTTTTTAAAGCATTGTACTGGGAAAACACTGGAGTTTACTGAATGAGAGAATGACATAGATTTGAACCTTAAGGAAAATAACTCTAACAGCTGAGGAGGATGGAATGGAGAGATGAAGAGAAGTGAGGCAGAGGGATCAATTAGGAAGTGGTTGCAATAATCTAGGCAAGAGATGATGACACTAAGGTGGTGGCTTTGTGAGCAGAGACAAGGAGGCTGATTCCAGTGATTCTGGGAAAGGAGAAATGAAAAACTTTACCCCCTGATTGGCTATGTGAGAGTGAGGCATTAAGGATAAAGTTGACTGAGAACCTTTGAGACTTAGAAGGATGATGGGGTCCATGACCAAAACAGGAAAGTTAGGGAGAGGGGTGAGTTTGAGAGGAAAGAGAATGAGTTCTTTTTGGGTCATATTGATATGAGGTGTTTTGGGGACATCCAGTTAACAATGTGCAACAGGGAGTTAGTGATGTGGGACTGAAACTCAGGAGCAAGGTTAGGGCTGGATATATAGATCTGGGAATCATCTGCATAGGGTTGATCATTAAGCCTTTGGGAGCTGATAAAATCCCAAGAGAGCAGAGAAAGAGTAGAGGGTCTAATTTAGGTCCCATTTAACATAGCAGGGGTGACTTCTTAGAAGACAGTTATCTTGGTATCTTTGGTACAGATGAGGTACAAGTTCTTTACCTTTGCTGTCTAAACAAATGTACATGTACTATAGATTATCCTCCATAATTCTGCTTTGCATGTCATTATTAAAATGAGTATATATAAAAACCTTCACTAAATTTCCTTTCCAGCATATAAACATTGTGAGGAGATGACTGATTTCTCAAAGGCTTTGCCAGGGAAACCCAAGCTCTAGCATGATTCTATCAAGCTAGGAAGTCCAGATCCAGTTATGGACATTTAGTCTCATTGTTATAGAACCAGCTCTATTTAAGTGCAGAAGAACTCATCACCAGAATATATGCCATTGGGTGATGAGGTTTTCTGGCCATAGCAACCTATCTTTGGGATTTATGCAGTGGTAACTATTTGTGCTGATGTGGAAACTACCTTTGCCACTGAAATCACAGATCTTTGTTGCTGGCCTTAACCACAACCTGGGAAGAATGTAAATTCCTTGAGGGCAGACACTGTTTGACTTTTTTCTTCATATCTCTAGCCCATAGCAAAGTGCTTGACTCTAGAAATTCTTGTTAAATTTAAGTGAATGACAGTGGAAGCAATGGAATACTGTAGATGGGCTCATAAAGAATGAGAAAGAAGAGGATGGAAGGCAGAAGAAACTCAACCCCTTAGAGTATTCCATTTCTTCCTTTAGCAAAGGAAGGGGTTGGACAAAATGCATTCTCTAAATGAATTCTAATATTCTTTCCCTCGTGGTTCCTCCCCTTGCGAACCTTACAGTCATCATCCCTGTTTGATTTAATGATTCTACAATAGAATTAGTCTTCCTCAAGGTCTGTCTCCATGGCTCTAGCCCACTGGCCTTGGTGTCTGGTATATAGGAGAAGCAGAGACCCACCACCCCCAGCTTGGATCCTGAGGGCATCCCACCAATCCCTCAATCTATGTGTAAGTGGGTCTCTCCCCTAGCCCAGAGTGACTTTTCCTTACAGAGAGAGGGTCTCAAGGACTCTTTCTTCTAAATGATTACCTTTCAATCTTATTTCCTCAAGGAAAGTCCTTCCTAATCTTTTCTTTCCACAGTTCTTCCTTGTAAGCTAGAGAGCAATATCATTACCACTTAATTCCATCCCATCCCAAGCTAAGGGTGATACCCTTGACCATGAGGGAAGGGGAGGGGGTCCCACATCTAATTTGTACTTAGTTATCATGTTAGCATTGGCTCTATTTGTTTGGGACCAAGATGCTCTGGGTACTTAACAGCAGATTAAGCAACCAAGTTCTGGATAAGAAGCTAAGACCCTGCCGGCTGCTGACCTGCCATTTATGCCAACTGATTATTCTGTTTACTGAGGCTGGCAGTGGGAAATGGAGAGGAGGGGAGATAGCCTACTCTGGATGTATATATATGAGAGTCCCCAGTGGTTCTCTTCAGCTCAGAGAGGACCTCAGGAGGTGGTATCTGTGGGAGCTGCTTGAAGAAGAAACCAATCATGATGAAGTTGCTACTTCTTGCCCTTGTCTGCCTCCATTTTTCAGAGGCAGACAAGGTAATCAAGTAAGTCCTGAGTTTGGGGGGGCAGTGTTTGGAGAAAACAGGAGAGAGAAGGGAGAAGGAAGTACAATGCCCTGGGAAGAGCCCTGAACTGGGAGTCAGAATAACTGGGCTGGAATGCTAGCTCTGTTACTTATTACCTGTAGTATAATGTGCAAATCAATTAACCTCCTTAGGCCTCAGTTTCCTTATAATAATAATGGTTAGTATATGTATATTGCCCAAAGTTTCTCAAAATGCTTATTTATTTGTGAAGTGTTTAGCACAGTGTCAGGCACATAGTATGCACCATATAAATGCTTATTCCTTTCCTCCCTTCCTCCATATTCCATTCAATTGATTCATACACCAACCCTGGGAAGTAAGTGTTATTAATATTATTCCCATTTAACACATTAGGAAAACTGAAGAACAGAGAACTTGAATTACTTACCCAATGTCCCATAGCTAACAAACATCAGAAGTAGGATTTGAATTCAGGTCTTCCTAACTCCATGTTTTCCTCTCTGTGCATTGAGTCATCTATCTGTTCCCTTGGCTATAAAATGAGTTAGATGAGACTCAAGACATTTTGGGAAAGGCATAAAAGCCTTGACTTTGCAGTCAGAACTCCTAGATTCAGATCCTGGATCGGTCACTTACATCCCAGGTGACTTTGGGCAAGTCCCTTAAGCTGTCTGGATTTTAGTTTCCTGATGGACAAAACGAGGAAGTTGAGCTAGAGGACTTCTGAAGTCCCTAGCAGCTTCAGGTCTATGAGCCTACGATGTTAGGAAAGAGGGACCAGGACCAGAAAAGGTAAGTCATTGTGTGATCATCAAGTAAGTCTGTAGAACCAAGACTTCTGAAAGGCAAAGAAGGATCCCACATATTGGGGCTATGGGGGAAATGGCCATAGTAAAGGATTGACTCAATGCCTCGAGGCTCATCCTTGCCATCCTCACCCTCCAACCCAGAATTTTCAATGTCTGTGACAATTCAATTAAAACCAACAAGCATTCACTAAGCATTTACTGTGTATAAGGGAGGCACAAGATTTTTTTTTAAATGAATAGTTCCTGAAGAAACTTATAATCTATGGGGAGTGAGGGATATGATGGTGGAAGGAAACAAGCATTTATTAAACACCTGCTATGTACAAGGCACTATGCTAAGTGCTTTACAAATATTATCTCTTTTGATCCTCACAACCACCCTGGGAGGTAAATGTTATGGTTGTAGGGAATGAGTGGTGCTGAGTCCCATGTGTAGAGAGGGACACACATGTTTTGAGGACCTGTCATTGTGTGGGGCTCTAAGAGAGGCAGATTAGAAATCTCTAGCTTCTTCTCCTCCCACCCTTCTCCAAGGGAGACTCATTTCTGCCAGGAGGGGAAGCAGGAGGTTGGGGCTGGAGGTTACTCTCTGGACTAGAATTATACCCATCTGCTCCCTTAAATACTTTGAGTCTAAGAGTTATAACTGGGTTCCATGTAACTTCTGATCACTTTGTCATTTTGAGTAGAAGGGGAAGCCAAGCTCTATATCCAAGACTTGACTCCTTTCTCATCAAATACCAGTTCCACAATGAACACCCACAGAGAATAGCAAAGAACTCTCATTTATCCAAATCATAGCAAAACAGTAATCAAGTCACTTGGTTGAGTCAGGGAGGAGTGAGTTCTGGGACATTTGCACTAGTAGCACCTCCTACTGCCCCCTCCCAGGGTGCCTCTGAAGAGGTTCAAGTCCATGAAGCAGGTGATGAAGGAGACAGGTGTGCTGCATGACTTCTTGAAGGATCACAAACGAGACCCTGCCACCAAGTACTTCAACCGGTTTGCTGCTGGCTATGAGCCCCTGGACAATTACATGGATGTGAGTGAGCATCTTCTCTCTCTCTTCAGCTTGAAGGCTGACTCCCTGCTCTTCTGGGACCCTTGGGATCCACAGCTCAGAGTGTGCCAGTCAGCTATGATGAGCATCTCCCAGGGGAAGGGTCCTGGATTACAACAAAAAGGAGATATGCTCTCCACCCTCAGGAAACTCCCACTTTGACAGAAAGGGACAAAGTCCTTGCCTGGAGGATCCTTCCATTTTAATGGGGGGGGTGACCATGGTGAGACTCAAGATGGGCCCTGCCATGTTGTTGCATTGGTAGGTGACCCAAAGATAGATGGGAATAGCTAAGGAACAGGGTGGATGACAGTATCAGGAGCCACAGAGATCTTGGTAGGCTAGCATTTGGTCCCATTGAATATGATGAAGCTGAAAAGAAATAAATGCAAAGTCATAGACTTAGGTTAAAAAAAATTCAACTTGTCATTTGAACTATCTCAAAATGACTCCTGAGTCTATCAGTTTTCCCCTCCCCAGAGTTCTTCAAGCCAAGCCTAGATCACCATATGTCAGGTACTTTACAGAAAGCACCTTTCAGGTATTGCTTGGATTAAATGAAATCTGAAGTCCCTTCCATCTGGGAATTTCTGTGTCTCTACGGCTGGGTACTGAAGAAGAAAGCATGTTTAAAGGGTAGAATGCAATTGTGCCTACAGCCCAGATTTGCTAGGTGCTGCTAGACTTCAGATAGTCAGGGCATGATCTGAGTGCATAGGTCAATTAGCATTTCTTAAGCAATGACCATGTGTCAGGCACAGGATAGGACTCTGCAGTGTGATGACCCAACCTTCCTCCCTAGATGTCCTACTATGGGGAGATCAGCATCGGGACTCCAGCCCAGAACTTCCTGGTCCTCTTTGACACTGGTTCCTCCAACCTGTGGGTGAACTCTATCTATTGCCAGAGCGAGGCCTGCAGTGAGTACCCCAGGTGGTGGGAGGGAAGGGAGGGAAAAGGGTTCAATTGCAGAAAATATGCCACCTACTTCCAAGGCAGCAAGGAGGGACTACTGGGTGGACTTGAGTATCAGAATGAACTAGCAATTTTTTCAGGGTCCCATAACATACCCAAAGCAAAGCTGAGAAGAATCACTTTTATCTCATCCTATGCCACTCCAACCTACATATTTTTATGATGCACCTACTCTGTACTTGTGGAGGAGGTGGGATGCAAGGGAAGTATAAGACTTGGTCCTGGCTCTGCAATCTTCCTAGATGGACAGGACATGCATAGACCTGCTCCAGCTCTAGTCAATATCCTTGGTTTTGAATCATTGTAGATCTGGTTACTGGGCAGAAATAGGAAGGTGGAGAAAAACCAGTTCAGAGGAAATGGAAGATGTGGTCAGGCAAGATGGCAGCTGAGGAAGGATAGAGATTACTAGTGGGAAGCTATTGCCCCTCCACCAGGGGAGGTGGTTGGGGATCAACCTTAGATCACCCCAGTTCCAAAGCTTAGCTCACCCCAGTCCCTAAGCCTTCTGTGTGGATCTTGGAAAACCTGGATTCAAATCCTGCTTCTGGTCCATTCTGACTTTGTTACCACCGGCAAGTCGACATTACTGCCCCAAGGAAACTCTTTAAGATTCTCAATCAGTAGGTCANGAAACCTGGATTCAAATCCTGCTTCTGGTCCATTCTGACTTTGTTATCACCGGCAAGTCGACATTACTGCCCCAAGGAAACTCTTTAAGATTCTCAATCAGTAGGTCAGCTAGGATGCATGAAGTACCTAGTGTGTGCTAGGCACAGTGCCAAGTGCTGCAATTATAAGACTGTAAGTTTCAGGCAATTTCCACACTGTGGGGGTGACACACCCACAGAATCACTGGTGTGAACCTCCTCTCCCCCAAAGACAGAATGTCATTGTGTGTCAGATTGGACAGTACCATCAGTAAGTACTGGAGGAGTTTGGGGTTGGGGGAGCTCCCCATGGACCAGGACTGGTCAGGTAAGACTTCATTAGAGAATCAGCCCTTGAACTGGGTCATGAACAATGGCCAGGACTTGCATCCTGAGAGTTAGAGCTGGTGGAGACCTTAGAGGTGAAATGGAAAAGAGAAGAAAGGGTACTCTTCAAGGCTAAAACATGAGAATTCCACTTGGGAAAGAGCAGACATGAAAGGGAAAAATCTGTGGTAGTCTTCTTTAAACCCCAAACCCTGAGGGACTCACCTCTGCCCTCCAGCAGGTCAGCCCTTCACCGTCCCAGTCTGAGGGCTGAAGGTGAGAGTAGGTGATTCCAGAGACAATGGAAATAGTAATAATGAGCCATGGGATATCATGCTTTAACTGCTAACAGACTTACAGCAGTACATAAAACAGAAAGTACAGCTATTATTATCCCCATTTTGCAAATGAGGAAACTGATAACCTTAAAAGGTTATTGGACTTTGCCAGAGTCATGTGGCTAATGAATATCACAGATGAGACTTGAACCCAGATCTTCTGACTCCAAGAATGCTCTTTCCATTGCATTACAATACCGAAGAAATGGGAAATGAGGTGATGAGATCAGGACTTATTGGCATCTACTGACACCCTCTTTTTGTCTGAGCAGCCACTCATCCCCAGTTCAACCCCACTAAGTCTTCCAGCTACTCCAGCGATGGACAGACCTTCTCTATTCAGTATGGAACAGGGAGCCTTACTGGAGTGTTTGGCTATGACACTGTGACAGTGAGTGGTTATGGGGGGAATGTGGTAAAGGGGAGTTCATGATTGGACACCTGGGGCAGGGGGTTCTGCTCCAGTTATGGGGCTTGGAAATCTGGAAGCAGGGACATGTGGGAGTGCAGCTGCCAGAGGCAGGAAGCTGAACCCTAAGGTTCTCCTCAAGTTTGTTGAGAGATTGGCCAGAGATGAGAGGAAGCTCTGCCTCCCTGGTTCTTCCTCCTCTTCCTTCTGCCATGAGCTTAGTCTGGCTTCATTAGCTTTAAGGAACATGAGGCATGTGGGGAGGATGATCAAGCTATGTATCATGCTGCCATCCCGCAGAAAAGGCCCCAAGACCCTCAAGGTTTCCTTCCTTCTCTAACCCCTCCCCACCACAAGCTGCATCAGAACAGAGTCTGAGTGGGTCATGACCCTCTCCTCACTTGCCTCACTAAGTGGGGGAGACTAAGCTCATCTGTAGGCCTGGGGAAAAACTGTTCTCCCCATGACCTTCTCCTGAGCCAACCCTTCCTGATGGACTTCTCCCCCATCCCCACAGATCCAGGGCATCTCCATCACCAACCAGGAGTTTGGCCTGAGCGAGACTGAACCTGGCAGCAGCTTTGTGTATGCCAACTTTGATGGGATCCTGGGCCTGGCCTATCCTGCCATCAGTGCTGGTGAGGCCACCACTGTCATGCAGGGCTTCCTGCAGGAGAACCTGCTCAATGAGCCTGTCTTTGCCTTCTACCTTAGTGGGTAGGTGACTTAGTTTACTTTTTCCTCTGTTCCCTTAGCCACCTCCTGACCCTATACCTAATCCTAGTCCCAACAGGTGAAATTCTCTAAGACAGGGTTTCTCAACCTGGGCTTTATGAATATATACATACATACATACATACATACATACACACACAAGCACATATAAGTGTTTCAATATAGTCAGTTTCCTTTGTAATCTTATGTATTCTATGCACTTAAAAACTTGATTCTGTGAAAGGGGTCACAGGCTTCACCAGACATCCAAAGAGGTCTGTCTCTCTCACACACACACACACACACACACACATACACACACACACAAAAGGTAAAGAACCTCTGCTCTGTGGCTCTTTCCGTTTTATTCCCCTCCTAGTAGGGAAATTGGTGAATTCATTGGTATTTGTTGAACACTTGTCATGAAAATGATATGGGGATGGGGATGACTCAGGGAGGGGAGTGGATGTAGGGAAGCTAAAAGGTAGTCCCTGCCCTCAAGAAGCTTACTGGGGATTAGCTGATGGAGAGGGAGTAGTTTCTGGATCAACTTGATAAGCATATGGGCAAGTGAGGAGGACAGTGAGGAGACTGACCTGGCTGGAAAATTGTGGTGCCTGTTGGGGAACAGTGGGATATGAGTTGGATAGGGATGTTGAGGCCAGGTTGTGGAATCTCTGGAAGGCCAGGCAGAGGTTTGCAATCAAAATTCTTCCCCTTTTCCCAGTCTATATTCACAGACTCTGGGGGATATAGAGCCAGGAGAAACTATAGAGACCATTGTCTTTATCATCAGTTTAGGACTGGAAAGGATCTTGGAGGCTGTCTAATGTAACCTTCCTTTACAGATGAAGCCACTATATAGGAAAAGAGATGGGACCTGTGATTTTACTGGTATAGGGAGTTCCCAGGGAGGAACTTTTTCTACCAATGAAAGCTATTTTTTTCATTGTTCAATCATGTCTGACTCTTTGTGACTCCATTTGGGGTTTTCCCCCCAAAGATTCTTCAGTGGGTTGCCATTTCCTTCTCCAGTTCATTTTATAGATGAAGAAACTGAGACAAATTGGGTGAAGTGACTCACCCAAGGGTACACAGCTGGTAAGTGACTGAGGCTGGATTTGAACTCAGGAAGATGAGTCTTCCTGACTCTAAGCCCAGCACTCTATCCCAGCACTGTAGCGCCACCTTGCTGTTCCAGTGCAACTTTGGGAATTGCCTGGAAGTTAAGTGACTTACTTAACCTTCACACAACCACTTCAGTCACAGATGGGACTAGAATTCCAGTCTTCCTGGCCCTAGGAGACCACCTTTCTATCCACTTTGCCAAGCTGCTCCTCCAAAGATTCAGAGGCCTAGGAAATGTATCTTCCTACTGCCCTAGGATGGTCTCAGCCACAGGTCTCAAGTCCAAAGCTCACTGACTACTTGACCTTGGTTGCTGGGAGTGACCTTGGCTGGCCTGTTCCTCTTTCATGTGGGAAGTAGAGCAGTGGAGGAGGGATTGCTGATGCATAATGAGGGCCTGTGGGCTGAATAAGAACAGTTGTGGGAGGAAGTAGGGAAAGAGAAAGACCTTTTCTTCCTTGCCTGTCCCTGTCTCCTCCCCAAAGCTGTTATTTCCTCTATGTCCTCAGGGATGAGAATTCTGACAATGGTGGTGAACTCACTTTTGGAGGAGTGGACAGCAGCCTGTACACTGGAGACATCTCCTGGGCCCCTGTCAGTGAGGAAGCTTACTGGCAGATTGCCATTAATGGGTATGTGAGGTGTGGTGAGGAGAGGGGAAGGTGGACTCAGTATGGATACATGAATGAAGATTATTCCTTCAAGGTGGAAAAACAGGGGCTTAAATGGGAGAGATCCAAAGTCTAGGGAGAAAAATAAAGGCTCCCATGGGTTGATATCTTGAGACTTTATACAAAATAGAAGTTACAAAGAAAGGATGGGGGACCAACTCTATGATTGGTCCGTAAATGAGAAAGTTGAATGAAGAGAATAGAAGTGTGGGACCAATGTCCTCAATCAGGGAAGGGCACTGAAGTCAGAACACTTCCAATGTCCCCAATCCTGGCTCAAGGAGGAGGGAGGAAGCCCAGTAGATTCAGATGTTTTGGATTGGGGACCACCAAGATGACCCAGGCTGGGAATTCCTCAAGCTGGGTTTTCTCTGAAATGAGAGGAGTGGTATTTCCTCAGCAAAAGGCAAATTGAGGCTGATATGGGAGAGAGAACCTTGAATGCAGGCAAGGGGAGGGAAAGCACATGACCAAGACGTATCTCACATCAGGGGCTGTCTTCTTTTAGGTTCTCCATTGGGGGCGAGTCTACTGGCTGGTGCTCTGATGGTTGCCAAGCTATTGTGGACACTGGAACTTCACTCCTCACTGCTCCCCAGTCGATCTTCTCTGAGCTGATGCAGTACATCGGAGCTGAGGAGGATGAAAATGGAGCTGTAAGGGATCCTCTCTAAGCCTCAGTTTCCTCATCTACACAATGGGGATAATTATATTTGGATTCCATATTTCACTGGTTGCAGAGTGGAAAGCATTCTGTAAACCTTAAAGTGCTTAATATATACAAGTTGCCACCATCTTTATTGGCTCCCTTAAAGAACCCTGCAGCTCTGACCCCTGTCTCCATTCATAAGGACAACATTCAGAGCTAGGAGTCCCTTGGTTGGGGTATGGTTTGATTAGTGCTTTGGGGCAGGACTGATATGGAGAGAGTGGAGGTAGAAAATGGGCCAGGAAGCCTCTGAAAGGGTGGAACTCTTAAGTACCTGCCCCCATATATATATCTTTCTTCCTGTGTTTCTCTCCTCTAGTATTTGGTCAGTTGCAGCAATATCGACAGCCTGCCTACCCTCACCTTCAACATTAATGATGTTAACTTCCCCCTTCCTCCCTCTGCCTATGTCCTTCAGGTGAGTCCCCTTCATTCCCCCACCTAGGCATTATCAGGGGTGCCTTATCAGGGGTGGTACCTGTGAGCAGGCAGGGTAAAGGAGAGAGGAGGGAGGTGAAAAGTTGGATTGTAGGATAGAGGAGGGCCCAGATCACACCCTCAGAAATACCTTGCTCCTTGCCCTCCAGGTTTCTTGGGATGAGAAGGACGAAAGAGCACAGGTTTGGGGCACTGGGGGAAAGAGATACACCCCTATTACTTAGCTCTTCCAAGATGTAATGTGATAGAATCAGATTCTCAGTACTGGAAGGGGCATCGGTGATAATCCGGTCCAACCCTCACACAAAAGAGTCATCTCTGTTACAACATCTCCATGAAGTAGTCATCAACATCATCTTGAATACTCTCAGGAATGAGGAGGTCATTGTCTCATAGGGCAGCCTTTTCCATTGTGCAGCTCATAGACTTGGGGCCAAGATCAGAGAGAGATGGTTAGAGGTCAGTAGTACTTAGCCCTCTCTAGTAACTGGGTTGCTCCTTCCTCAGGGAACTTCCCTGACTTGGCTCCTGTACCCCATTTTGGAATTCTCTTGGAGGACTGTATGGGCAGAGGAAAGGTAGATAAGTAGACAAATAGGGAGATAGATAGATGGATAGCTAGATATATGATAAGTAGAGCATCTGTCAAATGCTTGCCATGTGCCAGGCACTGTGCTAAGAAATTCAATGTGGTTCATGGGATGTGCCAATCAATCAGTCAATAACAAACATTAAATTATGTGCTCAGCATGGTGTTGGCACAGAGTGTATGCGTGTATGTGTGTGTGTGTGTGTGTGTGTGTGTGTTTTGGGGGCTATGGAGATATAGGAAACATAGTGTTGACTCCTTTGGATTTTCCAATATAAGTGAAAAAGCGGTTAAACAAAGAGAAAGAACAGTGTTACCAAGCAATGGGTGTTCATTCCCTGCCCCTCCCTCCCCTCTCCTTAGTGGCTAGATTAATCCAGGGGAGGGACAGGTCCTTATGAGATGGGGTGGCCACTGAAGGTTTTCTAGAGAAGATGTAGAACTTTTTCTGCCCAGAGAAAGAAGCTGAAGCCTAAGGCAAATATCTCCTGCTCAATGAGTCCTACTTCCAGAGAGTCAAGGCCAGCTTCCTAGAGGAAGTTGGTCTTCATGGGATAATGAACTCATCTTTTCTTCTCCCCTCCAGGCTGACAGCACCTATTGTGAGGTGGGGATCATGGCCACTTACCTGACTTCCCAGAGTGGCCAGCCTTTCTGGATTCTTGGGGATGTTTTCCTCAGGAACTACTACTCTGTCTTCGACCTTGGCAACAACAGGGTGGGCTTTGCCAGCCTAGCCTAAGCTCTTCTTCCAGCCTATTGTCATCTCCCTGGCTCTTGGGATTGTCCTCAACTTTTCTTCTCTTCCTTCCTCCCTTTCTGTCACTCCTGATGGATTTTGAATCTTCCTTGTGTGACCTGGGAATTTACAAATAAAAATCATTCTAACCCTTCATTCATTTGTTCTTTCATTCAATGTCTGTCAAGCCTTTACTGCATGGGAAACCGTGTACTCGGTGTTGGTGCTAGTACCTCTGGAGATTAGATATGTCTTGATTCCAAGTGTTGCTGAGCTTACAGTCTTGTGGAGAGATAGAAATACCAACATTGATAACCACATGATAAATTTATTAGAGAAGCTTCAAAGAAAATATTATATGAAGCCTGAGGTGGGATGGGAGGGAAGGTAATTCCTGATCAGTGGACCATTCTCACTTCCAAATGCTCTTTGTGGGGTTGGAGGAGCTGGGGTGTTGGGGAAGGATAGGAAGCTTCAGGAGTTGGGTCGGTGTTGGGTCGATTCTGTTGTAGAATTTGGTTTTAATACGAAGTGTCAAATTGGGATTGCTTAATCCTGAACAGCTCCATCTACCTACCATGCTGTACTCTTTTAGTAAGCCCAAAGTGTTTGTTCTGGAATGTCTATCAACCAATCAATGAACAAGAATTTATTCACCACCTACTCTGTGTGTCAGGCACTGAGTCTCTGCAAACTGTTCTTGTATTGGTTACTCCCATGCCCCATATTGTCTGTACACCACACTGCCTCCTCATTTCTATATATTTCCACTGGGTACTCTGCTCCATCAGCCAAGCTTGATCCCCCAACCAACTCATCTTCCCACAATCTTATCTCTGCCTCCTCTCATCCATCTTAGAATGTGTCTACCCTTTTTAAACAATCCAAGTCCCTCCCATCCCTAGTATAGAGACTATGTCTCCCTTATTTTCCTGGAAGATTCCCAAGGGCAGAGACTATCTATACAACTGGAAGTTCCCCATGGACAAGGACTGTGACTACATCTACCCTATTTGGCCAGGAGCTCCCCAAGGCTAGGAATCAGATCTCTGTCTTCTTACTTCTCCCCAGCTCCTATTGGATGGTTCTGCCCCCTCTACCATACAACTCTTAGTCTAAGGATCATAACAGGGATGACAATCAGGCATTGTTATAAAAAATATTAATTTCCCAGGGCCCCTCAAGGCTTTGGGCTCATATGAACCGAATTCTGTCTTAAGGACTTGTACTCAAGTGTATCAGTTTCTCTTTTTTGGATAATTATACTCTGACCCCAGAACAAAATTCCAGGGAAATTTCTTTCTTTTTTAGATATTGAAAATGCAACTTTATTCTTAACTACCAACCTCATATCCTCAGACAGTCTGCTGAAACCTATGGACCTCTTTTCAGACTACTGATTTTAAATGCATAAAATAAAATCCATAGTGTTACCAAGGAAGCCAATTACATTGAAATAAATTCACCCAATTTAAAAATAATTCTCAGACCCCAGGTCAAGAACTCACAGTGAAAAAGAACTGGGTATCATAGTAATAAAAGAAGCATTGTCCCTGAACTTTTTGACGGGACTGCTGTAATCTTAGATTTGAAAGCCAAGGAATGAGCAATTGTATCCCAAACAGCTAAATAACATGGTTGAAAACATTAATCACATATTTTAAACTGCTTGTTGTTGCTGTTGTTGGTCCTTCTTTTCCTAAGAGGACCAATGACATCCCAGATGTGATTTTGACTAGTTGGTGAATTGAATTTAAGTGAGGCAGAGTTGCCCAAAGTTTTCAGCTTCACTCTCTTCCTGAGTCAGTGGCAGGACAAAAGTCAAGATGACTGGTGATCCCCAGGAGGCAGTGGATGACTTTGGCCAAGCTCTAAGTGCTACACCATGCCTGCTTCAGCCACCTTCATGGCCATTGGTATAAATTGTTCTCACCTGCCCGTTCAGCTGGAGGAAATCTTCACATGCTTGGGGTAGACATCCCCCTAACTCACCCACAGGTTGGAGGCCAGCCTATCAGTTACCCTCAACCTGGTTTAGCCTGTCTGCCAAGATGGTTTACCAGGGTGTGGTTGCTGCTCATGCCACAGTTTCTTGGAGCCACAGGTGAGAGCTGGATGAAAGGTGGACACCAAAGATGGATAGGGCTCAGCAAGCCCTCCCACCACAGGTGCTAGTCCTCTTGGAATGCCCCATATGCCCCCTTTTCAAAGCATGTTTAAACTCCTGCTTTCACTCTGAATGCCATTCATTTCTTTTGGCATCCCAAAGATGTGTTCTGCTTAGGTCCATAACAGAGGGAAGCACTCTCCACTACTGCTGTCAGAAGACAGTTCCCTATAAACCTAAATCTCTGACTCTGGCCTTCAGCTTCATTTTCCCATAGGCTCTCACTTTCATCCCAGTTGTCTGAGCAATCAGATTGTCCTGCCAGTGCTGGATCCATGACAGCCTCTGCAAGTGCTATCAGAGAACAAACATGGCAACCAATGCCAAATTAGGGTTTCCAATACATTTTCCAGCAGCCAAAGGAAGGGTTTGTCAATTTCTTTCCTCCCAAAACTGAGCACAGGACTCCAGATGAGAGTAATGAGTAATGAGTAATGAGTAATGAGTAATGAGAGCTGAGCATACTGAACCTATCACCTCCTTCAGTCTGCCAATAGGAGTATGGGAGTAATTGACTCCTATAAATATATTCCCATAGACATATTTCTAAATACCCTAATAGACACTACCAGAGACAGGCTTATCAGCATGTTTGTCTCCATATTAGGGAATTTCTCTGCTAGTATTAGTGTTATTGGACAAAACAAATTAAAACATATGGACTCCAGCATGGAAAGAGGAGAAGAAGGAATTAAAGAGGAAGGAGAGTCCTAGAGTTGGTGGATGGTCAGGAGAAACCTGCTGCCCAGAGACTTGATGTAACTTGGCCTGAGATCTGAGGAATCTGAGTAAATGGGGGAAGCTCAGCTTGGAGCAGAGACAAGACAGGGTGGAAGCAGGGAGCTATCTAGTATAATCTGGGAGAGGTAGAGCTACATGGGGATGGAAATGCTCTGGGTGACTGGATTCAGACCTCCAGAAATGAAGGAACACCTTATCTGGGTCCATCTTATCTCCCAGGGTGGACAAAGCTGTTCCCTGTAACTACTCTGTGTATCTGTAACTGTCAGTTTTAGGATTCAGTCACCTAGTTCCACGAAAGGAAAAGGACCCCAAACTTAATTCTACTTGGGCCTACTTTTGCTGATGTGTTGGTTTGCTCTGTGATTGAGACAAAGGCAGCTGAGACCCAGCTAGCTCTTGGGAATTTTCTCTTCTTTCTCTGCTTTTCCTGGAGCCAGTCTCTACCATGTTTGCACTGGAATCATAGACACAGTTGTAAGGGTCCTCAAAGGTTATCTGGTCCAACCCCCTACCCAAATTAGTAATCCCCTCTACAACAATTCTCCAAAGTGGTTATCAAGTGTCTGCCAGAAGACTCCTAGTGACAGTTACCTCAGTACCTCCTGATGCCCCAGCCAACGCACCCCATTCCCCCACTCTCTGTTGATTCTGTTGGATAGTTCCAAAATGAGGAAGCTCTGCCTTAGAGTCAAAATTTACTGCCTTACAACTTGTACTCATAGGCTCATGATTCTGTTAGGCATGCCAGGAATACTATCCAGGGCAACCAGAACAAATTTAATCCATCTTTCACATGACAATTCTTAATGTACCAGAAGATAAGCATTATATCCACCATACATAGGTATTTATGTCTTCAGAAGAGAACACAAATATTCATTTTGCAGGCCCAAGCTAAGAATGAGTTTTCCAAAGAGTTTACTGGGTTTTCCAAATCACCAATGACAATAGAATTACAAATTAAAATAACCTTGAGGTCTCGTAACATTCTCTGAAAAATGGCAAAGATGATGAAAATAGGAATAATAAATGGTGGAGGGACTGTTGGAAGGCAGGTACAATAACTCCCTGCTGGTAAGTAGAGCTGTGAATGGGTTCAACCTTTCTGGATATCAATTTGGAATCATCAGAGAAAAATGATAGAGTTTCCATACCTTTGATCCTGCTACCCCACTACTGAGGTCAAAGACAGAAATAATAGCGCCATATAAATACTAAAATATTCATAGTAATACAATTTGTGGAAGGAAGGAACTGGAAATCAAAGTTAGGTGCCCATCAAGTTGGGAATGGCTCCAAAAGTAAAGGCTATGAATGTGATGGAATATTATTTATTGATCAGCAACAAATAAAGAATGAGAGCATTAAGAAAAAATATACAAAGATTTGTTTTACCTCATACAGTGAAATAAACTACTATTCACAATGATCAATCTGCAAATGAAAACATCATCAAAAGGAAGCCACACTGCTAAATAGAAAGAAAAAATGAAGATGACAGAGAGCTCAAGTAGAGTCAAGTTAATAGGCATCTATTCAGTGTCTCCAGGCTTCCAGGAACTGTGCTAAGTTCAATTAGAAGATAGGGAAATACCGCTTCCTCCTCAGGTCAGAGATTTTCCATGAATCAGGTGCTCTTTCTTCATTATTTTTCTTTGTCAGAAGAGGCAGTTACATCTGGATGGAGAGGAGGGTTTCTTCCCATCAGAGAAGACTATAAAGTAAAGACAAATAGCATCAGTGAAAGGTATTTTTAAAAGGAAAAGCCAAATTAAGTCCACAAGCATTTGTTAAACTCCTCCTATATTCCAAGTACTGTATTAAGTTCAGGGCATACCAAGAAAGGCAAAAACAAACCCTGGCCATGGGATGCACTTGAATGGAAAACTATTTCTTAGGTGCTTACTGTGTGCCAAATACTGTGCTGAGAATATAAATAAAATGCAAATACTGAGTCCTACCAAACTCCTTTTATGACACAAATACGGTACTGATACCAAACCCAGAGAGCTAAAATAGAGAAATAAAAGTATAGACCAATTTCCCTAATGAATTTTGATTAAAAAATTTTCAACAAAATACTAATAAGGTGAATACAGCAATATAGCACAAGGATTTTGCACTATGACTAGGTGGGAATTATGCCAGGAATGCAGGGTTGATTCAATATTTGGAAAACTGTCAACATAATTAACAATATCAGTAAAAAAAAAAAAAGCAACAGAAAGCATGTGACTATCTCAAC